GAAAATAACTTTTGAGAGCACACATACACTCCATAGGCTAAGAATTTCTACATGTGAATTCTTTGACAACGATCGAAAACAAAAACCCTTATTTTTCTGGTGACCAGCAAAGCACTGAAATCTCAGTGGCACCCACAGATAAAACGACTTTCAGCGTCATCAGAAACAACACAGGGGGAGAAGGGGCAGGGGGGGAGATAACAGCCCTTACCGATCTTTTTTCGTAATTTTCCATGTGTCCTTGTTGGTCAGCATCCCCATAACCTCTGCTACCTTGACGCCTGTCACTGGCTTCCCATCGATATGCGTAATCTGGTCTGTAAAACGAAGACCAGCTCTAGCAGCCGGGGAGTCCTCTCTCACGTAAGAAATATAAATTCCACCGTTCAGACTACAAATTTGTACGCCAAAATCATGTGATTGTTCTCGTTTCACCACCACAGCGGAAGTTAGACCAGATGGTCTATAGGGGTCGAACTTGATCGGAGTTGGAACAATGGCTTGTTGTCTGTCGAAGACCTTCTTCATAAGGGGATTGGTTCTAAGTTGGTCCTCGTGTAAGCTTAGGGACCGATCGGATCGAAAAGCCAGTTCGCCTTCATTTGTTTTCACATAACTAAGACGAAGGCTTTTTGCATAAGCTGGTAAGGTAGTATTTTGATGGAGCTCTAGGAGGCCTAAGATGTCCTTCTTCTCGATATTTTCTTTTATCAAATGATCTTCCAGGCATTCGGCAATTTTGAGTGTTTCGAAACTGTCGAATAAAAGAACCTACGGGGACAAAAGACAGAATAAGTATCCGCTTAGGGTTCCTCAGAGTCGAGCTAAAACAACTTGATGAAAAAAGGCAACTTTAATGTAAGCTGATTACCGCCACGAACGGGCTTTTTTTCAGTTTTCTTCAAAAAATACCAGGTATACCCCTGGTCGTGGACTTAAATCGAACTTCTGAGCCGGTTCGGGACGTAAGGCTGACAAGGAAATAACACAAGCGAAATTTTCCATCCCCAGGAGGTAATGGACGATGACTTCTAATGTCAAGAAGGCAGATGGGAAGACAGCCTAAAGACGCCCACTTTGTCTCATATTAGGCATCCTGCACCCACAGTGACAACCGCATGAGGACAGACGTGTGAGATAGTGTAGGTACTGCTTTCGTTGTTCGCTACAAGAGTCTAATTCTGCTACCCCGGAACCGATGCAGGTCAACAGGAGGCGAGGAGATGAGGACAGCGGGGGGGGTCAGCTAAAGACGTGACATTCAAATGTGGTTGTGGCTACTGGATAATAGATTAGATCGTATATCATTTACTGCTTAAAGACACGATCCAATACAGCATTGAATCTAGGCGTACCAGGATTAGCCCCAGCAGTACCAAGCACATGTAAAATGCATTCAGGAAATTCAATTATGTCCTGACGTTTTGTTCAGGCATGTACAAGAAGAGATCTTGTAGCTTGTGGTTGAATATTCACAGAAGGCTACGTAGTCTTCAATTATCAATTGGGGAATTGACTACCGAAAACACTCGCAATTTCGCAGTTATCCGTAAGTCCCGATCTAGTGAGGAAATCAACACTGTACCCCCACTAGGCTGATCCTAGATTTTCTGTCGAATCCTCCACCATTACAATAAAACCCCTCATTTTAGGAAAAATAAACTTTCAGCCGGACGGTGCAAATTCTACTCAAGGTCAAAACATTTAGTAGCATTAGCTGCAATAACTGCGCTGCGCAAACTTTGGTTTTTATGAGTGAAATGACACAGGACATATGTGCGACACTTAGGAACTCTAAGTAACTGGGTTCTCGTCTGCAAGTCCGTGTGTACCACATGACTACAAGATCAAATGACAGAGGAGGAATGTTTTACACCAGCGAAGGAATCATAAGCAAATACGTGGACAAAATGACAATAGTGACACTAGCTATAAGAATACAAACCCACCTCACTCATTGTCTAATTACGTGAATAATTCGCCCAAGGCGTTTTATTTCAAACACGCACAGACAGCTTGGCCTTTCCAAAAGATGTAATAGGTGTGAGCGTAGTTTCGAGGACTTTGGACAGAAACTGACTACGATTACTTCTGTCGTCCGAATTTAGAAGAGCTAGAAAAGACCAAAAGGAAGTGTTAAAACATGCATAGGCGTCACTAGACCAAAGGTAGGATATAAGGTTAGCTAAGTTCATTAAGCATTAACTTGCAAATGGTGAACAGCAATTCCGCACTCAAGTCAAATAGCTTTAAAGCGAAAGAAATACTGTGGTCGCGTTTGAAGCCCGGCTACGGGTGTTTCTAAACTGAATAGGCCATCAGGCACGCCAGCTCTTTGGAGACCGACTCAAGCAAATAACAGTTGAGATCTGACAAACACATCCGTGTTAAGAAAGACATGTTACCTGATCTACAGCACTTTAGGGGTCTATGCACAATTTCCTCAAGAG